ATGTTGATGATGATGACGAAGCCATCGCAAGCAATCAAACAAAACAAGCAGGAACGAAAGGTACGTATATGTTTGTAGGAATATGAAAAAAAGTTACTCACGCACTGCACAAAATTCGCAAAATAAATATTAGAGACGTTAATTACTGCCGTAGACGCCGAAACACCAACGAGCCGTAAATTAAATGCGATTAAAAAATGTACTAAACCAAAAATTATTTTCGTTCGTAACAACTTCACCCTTTCAAGGCAAGTTTCGAATATAAGCTGAATATTTATATTTAATGAATAAACACCTCAGGAACCTCCGCCTATGATTTTACGAGTTTTACGACCGTTTTATGACTTGGGCCCTCATTTTGTGCTATCGACAAATTATGAACGGACTATAGTAACTTAAGCAACTTAATGTGATTAATTTTTATTTAGAGAAGAACTAAGTTCAAACTGAGTTATACGAGTGCAAAAATCTCGCTACATGCTTTTATATGACATAAATTGTGTAATGACGTTATGAGTTGACAGTAAAAATTAAAAGAAAAGATTACTCAAATTTACATCGTGCAGCACTGAGGCTAAATATTATTATTTAATTAAATTCAAATCTCATTATTCACTATTGAATTTTGTAAAGTGATTGGAAATTTAAAAGGTTAAATGTAATTTGAATCTTATTTTTATCTATTTAGGGCGTATATAAAAGCTTTTTTTAAAGTTTTCTTTATATGAATTTTTCAAATTTGAAAATAGAAAACGTTCAATGAAAGACCCGTTACAAATCATGATTTTGTTTTACCAGATAAAAGTGTACATACGACATTCTGCTCAGACTTTAATGATGTGGTTATTCGACCTATCAGTTACGATTACGTATTTTCCAAAAATATGCCTAATTATGGGTGATATGGTTTTCTACAATTAGTAACAGTTCTGAATGCATTGTTATTTCCTATCGTGCATTCGAAATAATTTAAACAGCTTCAAAACTTCGACTTGCCTCGAGAAATAATGATAAAAATGAATATGGCCTGGGCGCTAGATATTCAAAAAATATGGCACAAAACGCCCACGCTTTTGTCACAATAACACTAGTATTTTTCGATCGTTATTGTTTTAAGCTTATTTAAAGAAATATTTTTAACTTTTAAGTTCGATGTTCTTCAAAAGCGTGTTTTTTAGTTTTTCAAACTATATTTATTTTCAACTTAAAGTAGGAAGAAATGAAAAAGATCTTTATTCCCTTCAACACCGTTTAGATATAACTCATTGAGGCAAATTCATTACAAATTCAATCATACATTCAAAGTGTGTCATTCATTTCACAAATTTTACAAACACTGCAAAAATGGGTTCGTCGACTTTTGAACTGTGGACTACTAATTATTTGTTCGGTTTGAGACTTAACTATTGCTGTGATTCATATCACCCGTTTCTTCTATTTGATTGTCTAATCATCATAATTGTTAGGATGTGCATTATCAATTGTTAGACCTGTGATGACCAGACTGTACAGGTATCCGTTCATCTTGAAATATTAAGAAACTTTTGAATAAGTGTTTTATTTTTAGATCGATTCTGATTATTGAAAAAAATGGCTACATTTGTACGATTTTATACGAGGAAAACCAAAGTAATATTACTATCGTTTAGGTTCAAGACACTTTGTGACGAAACACAGCTCTTGAATAAAATTCAAAAACATCGTTGATTATCTTTTATATCAGTTCTTCATTCATTTTGATATCAGGATACGTTCCAAATTTAGGAATTATTGAATAAAGAATTGCTTGCTTCACTATGATCGAAAAACGATCGTAATACTGTTCGTAGGTTGCCTTCTGCGATATCTCTAGTTGCCTCAAGCATTTGATGCATATATTTGCTCTGCACAGTAGACAATTCAATTTATTATATTGAAAGTAACCGAAAATTTGAAACAATGGTGCGAGGAATCAAATTCGAATGGCCTGACAAATCTATGCAACAGGGAGGTATTTTTCAATCGAAGAGAGGAATTTTTGACAGAAATTGGTTACCTGGGAAAAAGGCGTTTCAGTTATCCACTTTTTCATCACTTAACAAGAAATGTTCCGAAACTTCGAAGTACACCATTGAGAGTATTTCACATGATTGACATTTATTATAATTTTTTAATTCAGTATTAAATGTTGATGGTACTGCAAAATGAATGGGAAAAATGATTTTCACGCAGTTCAATGCTCATAAGGAAGCAAGAGCGTCGCAAACGGGGGGGGGGCAGTTGTCCTCCCCTAAAGATAAATGTAGCTATCCGTAAAGCGACCAAAGTGCGAGCAATTGACTTCCTTACCTATTAATAAATTCCGCATCGCATGGCAAAACGAAAAGAAATTCACAAGGTTCAATGTATATTGTAGAAACGTGTGAATCTATTGCCCAGTTTTATGATTTACCGAACATAAAGAATGAAATCGAACTTTGGCAGCAGTTGTGGCAAGATAGGCTTAATCTAACAAATCTTACAGTTGTTGATGTTCTAAAAGAAACAAATTACTTTTTTCCCGAAACGGAAAAGCATTGAAAATTTTGATCGCTTTACCATGCACGACATGTACAGTAGAGCGATCCTTTAGCAGCCTCAGAAGGCTGAAAACATGGCTAAGAAGCACCATGACAGAAGATCGCCTTATTGGTCTGACCATGATGAGTGTAGTTTAAAATATTTTTAACTTTTCAGTTCGATGTTCTTCAAAAGCGTGTTTTTTAGTTTTTCAAACTATATTTATTTTCAACTTTTTAGTTCGATGTTCTTTAAAATCGTCATCTGCCCGCGAATAGATCAAGCAATAATGCCGATAATTCTGTCAATACAGATCTCGAGCGTGAGAGTTACAAACCAGCATACATACAAACAAACATACATACATACATACATACAGGTGAAGCTAATATAAAGCGTGTAAAAAGATTTCAGTTGGAGATATCAAGGTGCCAAACGAACCGACGTATATGTGTCAAAGTTATGTTTCGGGTTCTTGGCCATTGTCTGCAGGTTTGAATGCCTAACGTTTCGTCTAATACTGCGATAGACATTATCAAAGGCGACGAGGTAACGGTCGAAGTGTTCGAGTTTTTCTCAAGCAGAAACTATAATCCTGGAATTTGTCGCCGGTTTAATATTATCGTCTGTGAGTGTGGCCTTGATTGAATTACCCGACTTGTTGGTGTACAGTCAAGGACAGGTAGCCAGTTTTTATTACTGTTCATTGCCTCTTCCCTTCTATTGGAATTATCCCTGTGTTTCTGTATTTCTATTACCTCACTCTTTATTTTCTTAAGGTACTTTTGAGTTTCATCGAGTATTTCTGTATTTTCGAATGATATAATGTGAGTCTCTTTTTTGAGAGCATGTTTGCCTACAACTGGTCTGTAGGTTTGCTCTTGGCAACAATTTCTCTAGTATTTAAAGAGACGTTGTTCCAATAAATACCGACCTGCAGCTACAATGAATCCGGTATAACCCAGGTATTGCTAAAGGGTCTCTGGAGTCCTTAGCTAACCTTAGACTCTCTCTGAAAGTTTTTGTTGGAATGAATATTGGTTTCACGTTGTATTTCTCTAGGATTCTCCTAATCTGGTGTGAAACATTTTCAAAATAGAGAAGGAAAGCTTTTTCCTT